TGGTAGGGTGGAGGGTCGACGAAAGAGGGGGAGGCCTTCAACGAGATGGATTGACACGGTGGCTGCGATGACAGACTCAAGTATAGCAGGGATTGTGGGGCTGGCGCGGGATCGGGCAATGTTTCGTTCTGCTGTGCATGGGGTCGCTATGAGTCAGAAACGACTTGACGGCACTTAACAACAACAACCACCACCAAAGTATATGTATTCTTTGATATGTGTTGCAAACATGATCTCCAAGTGTGGCTGTCTTTCCACTTACTTTATTCTGGTGTCTTTTGATGAATACACACAGTGTAATCAAGTTTTACATTTTTTCTTCATGTTTGCTCATTTTGTGTATTAAGAAAATTTTCCTTACCCTCAGTTTAAAAATAGTTCCCTACATTACTCTTTTAAATGTTTTATACTTTTACACTTCACATGTACACCTTTGATCCACTGGGAATTGATTTTTGTGTAAGGAATGAGGTAAGGATTCAATTTAAAATTCCTCTCATATGAGTAACCAACTGTCCTAGAACCACTTATTTACTTTTTTGACATTTATTTATTCAATTTTTATGTGATATGGGTGAAAGTTTACATAGCAAATTCATTTCCCATACAGCATTTCATACATTTTGTTTCATACATTTGACTGCAATGCTCTACTATGTAACAGCTCTTTTCCCACTTCCTCCCAATAATTACTTCTTCCCTGTGTCCTTTCCTCCCATGCACTCCTGCCCCCAGCTATCTTCCTGTGCAAATACTGCTCTTCTGTTTTCCTATGATTAATGTACAAGAAATTAATACAAGAAATGTATCTACCTGATGTAAATGTTTACCTCATATGCCTATTTTTTCAGCTGGAAGCCACAAGAATGAATTCAGTTCCAGACCTGAAGGGTAACTAGGGGCCATAGTCTCAGGGGTCTCACCAGGCTCTATCAGACCAGCAAAGCTTTTTTTTTTTTTTAATGATTTTGAGTTTTGTTCCACATTGTTCTCCCACTCTATCCAGGATCTCCTGCAATGAGCCCTTTCCGAGTGGTTAACAGTGGTAGCTGGGCACCATCTAGTGCTTCTGGTCTCATGGTCAGACAAGCTGCGGATCACATAGTCTACTAGTCCCTTGGACTAATTGTTTCCCTGTGTCTTTTA